TGGCTGGCTACAGACAAGCCGGGCAGAGCTCTCCCCCACACAGGGGACAGAGTCCTCACAGGGGCCTGGGCAGGCTGGCTGCAGACAGGTCTGCTGCAGGCCACTGTCTCCCCATTGGTGCCCATCCTCCCCCACTGACAGGGGTAAAGTAAGGTCAGCTGCCAGTAGCACCACCTTTCTGGGTATTCAGCTCTGTTCCCTAGGATTTCCCCACACGTGTAACATCAAAAGCCAGTAAATGTGTGTACTTTTTCTCCTGCAGATTACCAGATTACTCCCCCCTCCCCACCCCCCTATTCTCCCAGACATGGGATGGGATAATGGTAGCCACAGGCCAGAATTCAATTCCCTGGATTTAGAGCACACCTAATCAGAAGGGCTGGCTTCCCAGACGGCTGGCCTTTCCTAACCCCTGGCTGGGAGCCAAGACCACTCCAAGTTCTTAATCACAGTGTAGAGTGGTCAGAAGCATGGGGGAACGCGGAGAACCTGCGGGCTAGACTAGTGTCCAGAGAAAACTGAATCTATTTCCTCCATGTCTTGGTTATGCCCAATCAGATTATATGTCTTAGAACTGATTGTGCCCCATCACTCTCTGGATATAAGCTGGGCAAAAGTGGAGAGAACGGGGTGGGGGGGAGGGCCTGGGGGAGGGAAGGAGTATGTCCATGCACCACGTTGGCTTCTGGGGAAAAGGCAGGTGCACAGAGACCATATGCATGGTGGAGCCTGGGCACAGCCCTGAGTGGGGCTCCCTCCCCCGAATGAGGCTCAGGAGCCCAGCCCACAGCCACAGGGAAGGTGAAGCTTCCTAGCAGCAGTGTCAGATGCAGCCAGGGGTCCCCACGACCCAGAACCCAGGGACAGAAGCATACTTCATCCTGCAGCTAGTCACAGGCTGTGGGCTGGGCCCCCATCTCCCTCTCTCTTGGAGAACAGAACCTGCTCCGAGACATGAGCTCTCTAGATTCCAGAGGATCCGTGGGGTGGACATGCCCCATGCTCTTCAAGGCTGAGCTACCATTTTGGAAAGAATGGAAGCCTAGCAGAACAGCATTTCCGCCCTCAAATGGTATCTTTCCCACAAGACTCAGGGTTCTGCTAGGAGGCCCCTTGGAATACTGGCTCAGTAGGGAAAAGGCATGAGGTCAAGTGTACCAGCAAGGTCTAGTGCCCCCTGCAGGTGACTTCTGGTACTCAACTTATGCTGGATGAGGGATGAACTTGAGAAGCTAATGCTTAGAAAGCAGCAGCCTTGATGCTGTGCAGCATGGAGATCACCTGACGTGTAACCAGGGACAGGCACTTCAGCCAGTTGGCTCTGCTAGTCCTTACCCTTACTCTCATGCTGGCCCCCAACACTAATCTACTTCTGTATCTCTGCCTGGATCTACACTTTTGAGCACCCAACTGTATTCCTTCATTATATAAGTATTGTTTATTCCTTCATCACAGGAGATGGTCTACCAGATTCTGCTCTCAAGAATTCCCCTTGTGACTTTCTGCTCAGGAAAACCAGCTACACAAAAACCAGCCTCCAGTGCCCCTGTCAGGAGTCTGGGAGTCGGCCCTCTTCAGCAGATGCCCAGGTCTGAGTTACCTGGCCCTGTACTCACATTGAGGGTCTCATCCTCGGGGGTTCACAGCCAGGCCTTGTCGCAATCAGGGTGGAGCAAGTTAAAACCATGAGACTGCATCTCACTCTATTGGGAGAACTACTAGCAGACAATGGAACGTAACCAGCAAGGACATGGAGAGCCTGCTGGTGGGAATGGCAAGATCTGCTTAGCAAACAGTCTGGTGGCATTTGCTCAGAAAGTCGCGTTCAGGATCACCCTACAATCCAGCAATTCCTCTTTTTTTTTTTTTTTTGGGTCCGGTTGTGGGGCCTGAACTCTGGACCTGGGCGCTGTCCCTCAGCTCTTCAGCTCAAGGCTAGCGCTCTACCCCTTGAGCAACAGTGCCACTTCCGGCTTTTTTCTTATGTGGTGCTGAGGAATCGAACCCAGGGCCTCGAGCATGCAAGACAAGTGTTCTACCACTGAGCCACCTTCCCAGCCCCAGCAATTCCTCTTTTATATACAAAATTAAAAACAGAGACCCGGGGGTTTCCAAACACACCCACAGCGGCATTATTCACAAGGACTAAGCAATGGAAGCACCCCCCATGCCCATGGCTTAGTGGAAGAACAAGCATGCTATGGAGGAGCAGTAGGATGCCATTCCTTATAAAGGAAGGAATCTGACACGTGCTGTGCCAGGAGCAGTCTTTGTGCTACATAAAATTAACCAGGTACAAAGACAGGTATTACATGATTTCACGTAAATACTACAACAGATTGAATGCTGTCACCCCCCCACAAAATAATTCCTATGGTGAAATCCTAGCCTTCTCTTTGCCAGTACTAGGAGTGGAGTGGTCATCTCCCAGGTGGGATCTGTGCCTCTGCAGGGCTCCCAAAGAGGTCCAGTCTCCCTCCCACCCCACACTCACCTCAGAAAGCTCTGTCTGTACCAAGAAGTGGGTCCCCATCACACCCCAGACTACCTTGCTCCCAGACTTCTAGCCTCCAGAACTGAAAGAGCAAAGCAATGTCTATGTCTGAAGCATCAGCCTACAGTATCTTTGTTATAGGAGTCAGAAGTAAGACTGTGAGGTCCCCGACAAGAGAAAGCACAGGGAGAGAAAGAACACTGGCTGTCAGGCACTATGATTTAATGGAGCACAGCTTCAGTTCTGCAAGATGGAAAGTTACAGCAATCTATCACACAGCCTGGCTATGCAGAATGCGTGAAGAAAGATTGTGCACCTGAAGGCCAATGGGCTGGACAATGCCAGGTTACATGCAATTTACCACATTTTCGGTGAGGGGGGCGGGGAGAGGTACAGGTACTAGGGCTTGAACTCAAACTCTGGGTACCATCCCTTCACTCAAGGCTAGTGTTGGAACACTTGAGCCATAGTTCCGCTTCCAGCTTTTTGCTAGTTAACTGGCTTTTGCCCAGCAGATCTTGGGGGTTCCCTTCCCTATTCCCACTCCTTCTAGTCTGAGGCCACTGCCCTGGTCACTGAGAGCAACTGGAAGGACTCAAGTTTGGCCCGAGACAAGCCTCACTCCCAGAAGCCCAGGCAACCAAAGCCCAGAGCGCTGGAGATTTAATTAGACAGCTAAACGGCGGGTACAAAGAAGCCCGCCAGCTGCACTACTAACTTGCCTCTGAAATAATAAATAAATAAAACCACACTTGCTCTGTCTCCTCCACTCCGTAGCAGCCTACTTCTGAGCCAGTATCTCTCTGGAGCTCAGAATTGGCCAGAAGGGCCAGACTCTGTAAGCCTAGTAGAGGAAGCTGCCCATCTGGCAGGGGTCAAGGGCCAGCAGAAGTAGGAAGGTGTCCCGCACTTGAGAGTAGAAAGACAGGCAGGGAGGCGGAAGCAGCGCCAGTCCCTCCCCTCGCTCACCCCAGGGTGGTCTCTGCCCTCCATCAGGGCCTCTATAGCAATGGCACCTCCGGCCTAAGTTCTGAGTGCCTGGTGATCAGTGTCTTCCCGTCTGGGTCACCCTCCCGAGCCCAGCCACAGCTGCTTCCTCCCCCACTTCCTGTCTGGGTCACCCTCCTGAGCCCAGCCACAGCTGCTTCCTCCCCCACTTCCTGTCTCAGTCACCCTCCTGAGCCCAGCCACAGCTGCTTCCTCCTCCACTTCCTGTCTCAGTCACCCTCCTGAGCCCAGCCACAGCTGCTTCCTCCCCCCACTTCCTGTCTCAGTCACCCTCCCGAGCCCAGCCACAGCTGCTTCCTCCCCCACTTCCTGTCTCGGTCACCCTCCCGAGCCCAGCCACAGCTGCTTCCTCCCCCACTTCCTGTCTCAGTCACCCTCCTGAGCCCAGCCACAGCTGCTTCCTCCTCCACTTCCTGTCTCAGTCACCCTCCCCAGCCCAGCCACAGCTGCTTCCTCCCCCACTTCCTGTCTGGGTCACCCTCCTGAGCCCAGCCACAGCTGCTTCCTCCCCCACTTCCTGTCTCAGTCACCCTCCCGAGCCCAGCCACAGCTGCTTCCTCCTCCACTTCCTGTCTCAGTCACCCTCCCGAGCCCAACCACAGCTGTTCCCCCTCTCCCCCGCCTTTTCCCTGTACCACTGTGGCCCTGGGAACCAAGCACAGAGGTCTCCCAACCAGCTGTGCACTCCTGACAAAGTCAGGACCTGAGGGTCCAGGGCCAGCCATCCTCAAAACCATCAAAGCACCTGGGCCAGGGACACCTCCTGACACAGATGTTAGGAACCTCTCTCCTTGGTGCTCATCTCTCTGACTTAATCATCCATCACAAAGCCTGGAGAAGCCTTAAAACGGAGGCAATTAATCATACTCCAATGCCCTCTGCATTCTGCTCTGGCAGCAATCTCTTTAGAACGGCCTGGTGAAGCCTGAATAAGCAGACTCCGCTGGGCTGGCAGCCCGTGCTGCCGCCAAGCCCTTAAACCGCTGAAAAGAAGCATCCATTCAGAAGGGACTGGCCGCTCAGTTGCCACAGAAGCCGACAGCAAATCCCAGCCTTCCCAGAGCTCTCGTTCAGCCTCTTCCAGTTATAATTGCCCCCAGTGTCTGGATATCACAAGTCAACAACTGGGAAGTTAGAGCGGGCCAAGAGAAAACAGGAAGCAGGCAGAGGGCTGGCTCCAGCCCTGTGGACTACGTGCTGGAAAGGAAGCTGCTGCGGGTCTCTGCCTGGACCCTCCACCCGTCCCTCTGCACCTGATGAGCGGGCACAGGCATCGTGTGGCCTCTGGGACACAGGGTGACTTCAGACAGAGGCTGCTGCTGACGGTCCTGTGAGCTCTAGGACCATGGGATATGGCTACGCCACGCCGCCCCTTCCGAGAGCCTCCCTCTCCAGACCCAAGCTACCCTCACTGAGGAAAGAGAAGGCTGAAGGGACGGCTGCCGAGCGCAGGGTGCCCGCCCCCCGCCCCTGCCGGCCTGCCCTCAGCCCCCCTTACCTTGCCAAAGCTGCCCTTCCCGATGGCTCTCAGGATCTGGAAGTGGTCAAAGTTCACTGTGGGATAAAGCAGAGAGGAGCCAGGTGAGCAGAAGGCTCTGGAGCGGGTCCGTCCACCTTGCACCCCTGCGGCCTGCGGCAGTCACCGCACCCGCCCTGCAGGACCATCTTCTGGTCAGGGTGATCGGTTTGTCTACCCAGACATGGGACAACCAATGGGTGGGGACCTGAGCCTGGTCCACAGGAGGTACAGGGACAAACGAGTCAGCCTGGCTCCAGGACACCAGTCTCTGCGGCAGGATTGCTATCCGGTGGGCCCCACAGAAAGCCACCCTTTAGCTTTACGCCTGCCTGCTGGGAGCCTCCTCTAAGCCCAGATACCCTGGGAAAGCTGGAGGCCCTGCCCTGCCTGCACCAAGGGGCTCAGAGGGACTTTCTCCAGGCCTTCGTCCTTCTAAGCCCCGACAAGCCCTGCATCAGGCAATCCCAGCTGGCTCTGCCCCCAAGGGTACCCAGAATCCAGCCCCGCCAACCCCTCCCCCTGCAGCCAGGGTCCTCCTCAGTTTCCATTGTGCTCACAGAACGTGGGACCCGGGGCCCTTTTCCAGATGTGCCCCCGTTGGAGGGCACAGAAGGCCTCTGCATGAGGAAGCCTGTGGGGGAGACAGTAAGAGGGAGTGGAGGCTGCTGAGTCCTTAAGGTCACTGGGGAGACCAGAGGCTGAGCCAGGGACTGGCGCTCACACTCACCCCCCCCCCCCGCGCCTTGCAATGCAGGGCCAAGGTGCACAGACACCTTGCAAATGATCACACAGGTCAGAAGCGACGCCGACTTGCCACAGCCCTACCCAGCCTTTACACATCATCTGCCCAGGAATCAAAATGAGCCTGCCGGGAGGTCTTCTGTGTGGGGAGGTTGGGGCGCAGCCCCAAGCTCCGGGCTCCGGGCCCTCCTCCTGCGCCCTGGCCCTCTCCAGGCAGCACAGCTTTGAGCTCTGGCCTGGCCCTCCTTCAGGGGTCCCAGGCCTTCATGTCTTCCAGCGAACAACACAGCGCAGGAGCAGGCACTGACTGCCCGCTACCCACAGCTATTTAACACGACCCCTTCCCTCCTCACGACCCCTTCCCTCCTCACGACCCCTTCCCTCCTCACGACCCCTTCCCTCCTCGCGACCCCTTCCCTGGTCGCGACCCCTTCCCTGGTCGCGACCCCTTCCCTGGTCAGGACCCCTTCCCTGCTCACGACCCCTTCCCTGGTCACGACCCCTTCCCTCCTCACGACCCCTTCCCTGGTCGCGACCCCTTCCCTGGTCAGGACCCCTTCCCTGCTCACGACCCCTTCCCTGCTCACGACCCCTTCCCTGCTCACGACCCCTTCCCTGCTCACGACCCCTTCCCTCCTCACGACCCCTTCCCTCCTCACGACCCCTTCCCTCCTCACGACCCCTTCCCTGCTCGCAACCCCTTCCCTGCTCGCGACCCCTTCCCTAGTCACGACCCCTTCCCTGGTCAGG